ATGGAGATGGTGGAGGGGCAAAGGGGAGAGAGCGAGAAGAGCGGAGAAGGGAGAAAGAAGAAAGTAAGTGTGAGGAAAGAGCTAGCTAGAGGTAGGGGTGAGAGGGAGAGGGAGGGGGGATAAAGGTGGTTGATGCGCTTAGTACTAGCGCGGGGCATGGGGGTCACGCTACTACTAAGCCCATTAGTTGGAGCATGGCCTCAGGCACCAGCGCTTAAGCTACTACTAAAAAGGGCCCACCAGCTGGCCCCGTCTATTCATAGAAGTAGCGCGGGGTGGCACACACGCGCTACTACTATCAACTTAGTAGTAGCGCAGGTTTTATACCCCGCGCTACTATGGCCTGTCGCGGGGGCACGACAGGGACCACTTAGTAGTAGTGCCGACCTGTTGTGCCCGTGCTACTACTATGCTCTACCAGTAGTGCCTTGTTTTTACCCGCGCTACTACTAAGTAGCAGTAGTACGGGCCAGTTAACCCACACCATTATTAAGTGGTTGCCTATAGGGGTTTTCCTAGTAGTGTCACATTTAGCAAGCAGATGGGTCTAAACCGCTCAATCCAAACAACAACCATTTTCTTCTGGAGAAGCATGATAATTCCAAAGTTTAGACGAAGGAACAAAAGATCATCATTGTACAAGTCCACAAATTTTTTGAAAGAAGATTACCTTCAATTCCCAACATTTCTCATAAAACTCAGTGGGGAATAATTTGTGCTAAATTTACTGGGTGTTAAGACTTTTGACCTTATTACCAGCTACGATCACATTCCTTGGCACCCATATGCTAGGCAATTTCTTTCGCCTATATCTAGTGTTTTCTTAGCTTTTACAAATGTAGATGTTCTAAGACAATATATTGTGTTGCTAATGAAGTACTAATTTTGAAATAAACGTATATATTACTGAAATATTATATTTGTTAGTCCTTCCATCTCAAAATAAGTATCGCTGATTTCACACAACCTTGTGGGCGGAGGGAGTATTTTGTAATGTCACTTTCAAGAAAATATCACATAAGCAATCAATTGTAGAGTGCGATGTTGTTTGTATGATTGAAACATAGTCTAAGAAGTAGCTATCAATCTGATCATTAATTCTAGTCTTATCAGCACATCAGTAACTTGATTTTAGTATAGCATTTTAGGTTCAATTTTTCGGGCGGGAAATTTTAGGTTGAATTTAACAAAATACGTGTACAAATAAGAATCTACCTGATCATTAATTCTGGGTCCGGCTCCACTCTTTTCATGGTTGCACTTCCTGTATTCACATAATTAAAAGACTAGAATATAAAACATGATATTACATGTATACCCAACAGCGTCCTCTGTACATTTTGTCTATTCATAAAAATACTTGCATCTATCCAGAGTTACTTTATTTGGAAGAAAGAATTTTTTCACTGGAACTGCACAAAAATCTGCAATTGAGCACCTGAGATTTAGATGCGCATTTATGCTCTGGTCATCTGCCGTCTTATATCCTAATACTTTTTGTATCTCAGATGTGAATTATCTTTCTCACACATACGGTAATTAAGATGAATAACATTAGAGGGGATATATTATTCTCTATGGTAAACTATTATGGATGACATGCAAGTTATTAATTAATTATTACTATTATATTGTTGCAATATTTTTTTTGAACTGGGCTAATCCCCTTTCCATTAAAGATATAATGGAAATACAGCCAACTCCAAGTTCACATGACAAGGGAAAGTGAAAAGGCGAGTTCAAGCACTCCAGAAAAACCCGCTGTGAGCTCGCAATCGAAACTTCCACTACGAGGCAAAAACTCTGAAGCACCATCAACACGCAACAACCAGAATCAAGTTCAGACCTCATTACAGCCTTCACAAAGGCAACAAAACATGTAGATTAAACCAAAACGAAGCCCCAAAGTTCTCCATGTAGCTTGGTGTCTTGACGGATCACTCCACAGTGTCGCCAACGTACGCGGTCGCGCAGAGCCTCATCATCTCTTTAGCATTCTCCTTCAGAATCATTGCGCCACGCTCCAGATCCGTTAATTGCAATATTAATTGATCATGTAAAGATAGTTGCAATACATGACACTACATGCAACTGCATCTGGCTTAGAAGATCAATCCGTAATATCACTGATTTCACATAACCAATGCTATCTATGTATTCCATGAAAAATAAACCAATGGAATACAGAAATACATGAACTGTGTAATGAAAAACCATGCGGATTTGCTAGCTGAGACATTGCTAGGAACATCCGTGGGACATCACACTATCGTGTCATAAGAAGTGAACCAGCATGGTTTCACTTCAGTGCCAATGTGATTACCCATGTAGTGTTTGTTTGTCGGACCTAACAGTTAAGAACTTGCGTTACTATCTTATTAAAGGCATTGTCTCCATGCTGATGTTCTAGCCTTGTTGTGTTAGATCTGGCATCCACGATGAAAATTCTTGCGCTAACAGGCTGGACGTGGTGACGTTGGTGTGAGTGCTTTTTCTTTTGTTTTTTGTTCTGACTTGATGGATTGGTGCAGCAGAAAGTGACTTAGTCGTATGTGTTTTTTCATATCTTGTCATGGCTCAGCCAGTGTGGCCCACCTAATTCATCTGCCCTTGGCCCCCTCGCGTCTCCCCCGTGGGCGACCTGGGGGAAACCCTAGCCACCGCTTCTCGCACCTCCTCCGCGCCTCTCCCTCCTCGCCGCCGCCCGCAGCGCTGCCGGACGAAGCCTGGCCGGCTGGGCGGCGGCGGGGCTTATCCCCATCCTTTTCGTCTTGGCTGGCGCGCGACAACGGGGTCGAGAGGAGCGTTGGGCGAACGTGGGATTCGGCGGCGCGGCGGGCGGGTCTCCTGGCGGCGTCGTGCACGGCGCGATGGTGGCAGCCTGCATGTCGCGAGGTGGTGGCTGCGTTGGGCCTGCCCAGTGGTCGCGGGTGCCGCCAGATTCAGATCAGATCCATCTGGATCCTGTCTTCCGACTCCGTCGGCCGCCGCGGGGTGGTGATGGTCGTCACTGGCCACGTCGGACCGCTGGTTTCGGCGTCTGGAGATCTACAACGGGTTCTTCTCGATCCTCCTTTCTGGCGGGTCGAGCCCCATGGCTCTCGCATCTTCACATGTTTTGAATCGTGGCTCGTTGCCAGATCCAAAGCAGACGGAGGTTTGGTGGCATAGGATGGGGACTGGAGGAAACTTTGGTCGGCTAGCCTGGCCCGGCATCGGCGACGTCACTCGACGCCGTTACCCTCCGTGGAGGCAAAGCCGAGGTCTCTCATATCCACCTCCGAACCCCTCTCGGACGAAAGTCCAAAATCCAGTCTGAAATGGGCGGCGGCGGCGGCCTGCGTCTTATCCTCCATGGAGGCGCCGTCTTGGGAGGACCTGCTGTTCGGGGGAGAGATGCTGTGGATGGTGGGCTCCGAGTACGTCTAGTAGTGGCGACGGTGTGGACGTTGCTAGGTGGTGCGGCATTGTATCTACCGCATAGATGACGACGAGTTTTGGCGGCATGGTGCAGTTGCATAGCGACGACGGATGCGGCTGGATGGACGAGCGCAAAGCGGTGGAGCTGTTTGGCGCCATGGTGGCGTCGACGACAGCGAGACCGGGCAAGATAGATGCATCAGTACAACATTGAAGATGGATTGATGGCATGTGGCTGTGGCGGCCTCATACCTGGCAGGCGTCCTGATTGAGAAGTGCGCCGAACTGGTGAGTGCCTCATATCCGGCAGGCGTCCTGATTGGGACCTCAGGTCTTAGATGATAGGTTTGGATGCGAGGTATGTTTGATATTACGCCCAGACTATCAGCGCCCCTTCATCAATTGGTTAGGAGTAGTGACACATGTTGCCTAGACGGTGACTTTAGTCTTACTGTTGTATGACTTTGTAAGGTCTTATGTGAACAATTAATAAAGTGGCTGCATGCATTGTCAAGATGCAGAGACCGGGTTCCTCCTTTTTTTTTAAAAATATTGTCTCAACGCCGTGTGTCTTTAGATTCATTTTAAGATAGCTTACCAAATATGCGACCTGGTCTTATTGCTTTGTATCAATTTTAATATTATTATGGTGGTGTGCATCTGCAGATGCACAGGCCGGAATGTTTAAACTATTTTTGGAAAAAAATGTGAGCATGTTCGTAATAGTGGTCTACTTTCTGTGAATCATGTAAATGTATGTGTTTTTTTGTCAACTTTCATAAAAAGATGTAAATGTCATTTGGATGGCAAGACAGAAAGTGTGGGTTCTTCCGGGAAATATCATTCATCGCCTCGAATGTATCTCAGGAATGCGACCCCCCTAACAGACTACAGGTGCGAGCTTAATCTCGTTCAGTATCAATACTGTTTATTGCATAGCGCAAGCACGATTGGTTCGTACCATGGAGTTTTTAAGGTGCTCTGGACCTCTGGTGTACTCTCAAGAGCGACTGCATTTGGACATGTATTCGATTTTAACTTTCCTTAGTTATAACTAATTACTAATATATGTACAAAACAATATTATTTTTAGCGGAGCATAACAATTTATGTGCTGAAATATCATGGCAAGCCATATCTGTTTATCTATATTTGGTTATATTTGCTCCATGTAGAGTGCAGGAATGGCAGCCTTAATTTGCAACAGAAAGATCTAAATTAATTAATTAATGGAAATCTCTTATTTATATTGCATTTTATAGAGCGTGAGTGATTGATTCGGTTCACTGAATCTATCACTCAAGCTTCACAAACCATACAGTACAATATAGTAATATATATGTACAAACAATTCGGCTAGAGATAGTAGCACCAGACGACCCCGGCCGTATTGAGCTACACACATGCAGACCAGCAAAAGCCACACGCACGCGCACGTAGTACCGTGGTATTTTGATCGCACACATACAATACATACGTACGGTGGTAATATATATGGCGGCCGGCCGTCCTGCGAGGTAGACGAAAACTACCTCGTGGTATCTATATCTTACCCAGGGCAGACAGGCAAGCTTGGAAGCTCACGCGTCGCGGACCTCGAAGACGTTGCGCGTCTTGACGACGACGTCGTACATGTGGACGAGCTTGAGGCGGGCGAAGTCTCGCGGGACGGAGATGAGGTGCACGGTGGAACGCTGGTGGAACTGGAGCAGGCACGGGTCGTTGAGGTAGCGCTCCCACCCCAGCTCCCGCAGCCGCCGCTCCAGGACGTCGTACGTGGTCACCACCTCGCCGCTCGGCACATGCACCAGCACTTTGCCCGGCCGCGCCCCGCTCCCGCCGCCGCGGCCGGGCGCCTCGCTGTCCGCCCGCCTCACGATCCCGTCCTCGAATACCCACACGCCAGTCATGCTAGCTATTTCACTCGACTTGACTAGCTCGTAGGCTCTTGCTAACAGCTTGCAAGATGTATCGATTTCAGAGGTGATCGATCAACAACGGTGATTGAAGGTGCAAAGAGGTGGGAAGATGGTGCAGAGCTTATATAGAGGCGAAGGCTACCGGGATGACGTCGGAGGCCGGGCGCACTGCTTATTACGGAGTGGCTCCTGCATCGGCTAAGCTGGGTCCCGCCAGCTCAGCGGTGGTGTCCTTGGAATGGGGTGGTGTGGGCCCCCGGGAATCACGGCGCCTCCAACCATAGAAGGAGAACATAGTTGGAAGTTTCCAATCGAATACTGACAATCAACCGTTCGATCACAGAATGAATGGCCAGATCCGTTGTGTTCCTCTGGGCCACGGAAAAGCAAGATGGTCATCGAAGCCGTCTATAATAACGATGGAAAAGGGCAGAGATATACCTTGTAATAACTACTCCCTCCGTTCCTAAATATTTGTCTTTCTAGACATTTCAAATGACTACTACATACGGATACATGTAGACATATTTTAAAGTGTAGATTCACTTATTTTGCTCCGTATGTAGTCACTTGTTAAAATGCCTAGAAAGACAAGTATTTAGGAACGGAGGGAGTATGTTTTTTTAATAAATAATACAGTATGGACACATACCCTCATAAACACATACATACACTCGCCCCTATTAATACATGAACGCACACCATACGCTATGAGCAATTCCGAATGATTGAGCTGACAAGTTTTGAGATTGACATCACAGGCGCCTCATTATCGATGGAACGTCGCCTCCATCTGTGGCCATCCAACCACAGGTCGGTTATCTTTCTTTTTTTTGGTAAAGGGCATGTATTTAATATCATGTTTTTTCCAATTACGCCAAGTCCATGCAACACCATGCATATTTAAAATAATGAGTGTATGCGCGTGTATATGAGCGCTTGCGTTTATACTGTGTCAAAAAATATATTAAAGAATGAAAGATACAAACTATATAAAAATTTAATACGTACCAACATTCCTAAGTTTAATCTACTATCGCCCTTGAGCATATAGATGGTCCAGGAATAATGTTGAAGATTAAATGATACCTTAACAAGAGCATGATCATCCATGTAGTATCCACATACAAGGTCGTTGACTATATTATCAATCATTACCGTACACTTGAATAAATTTCCAAGTAGGAATCAATTTTCAATGATTTCGAGCACAATTGTCTCCTGTCAAAGTTTCAAAGAGAATATCAAAATTATATTGAATACATTAGCAAGAATTTTCATAACACAATGTAATTCATGTATATGCAATCACTATCAAGACTCCAACCCAAGTTCCGCATGTATTATAATTCACTTGTCTTCCTGCGTTAGTTCACATCTCTATCCATGTGTGCAACAAGTGAGCGCAGTCTACGTCAACACTTACTGAAAAAAATAGAATAATGATGGGGATTTGTAGTAGTAAAAAATAAAAATAGTTTCACATCAACACATGTGATGGTTGTGCAATGTAAAAAGTCTTATAATCGATGCTAATGCAAGTAATAGGTATTGCCATGCAACTAGAATGCACGTAGAGATATGAATATGTGAAACCTATCATGTGACTAAGTGGTGGTGCATTTGACTTGGTTGATCATGGAGGCATATCACTCTTGAGGTGGCTCATTATTGGTATATACAAGTCAAGTTAATATAAATTTCCCACTAAACTACAAAAAAGACGCATTCGTAATGTTACATGTTTGTCAGTAGCTAACTTTTTTCGTCATCGATGTACACCCATGACATTTTTATCACGAAATCAAGATAATCATACTTGTGTCGTCGTAGATCACTTCCATGACAAAACACACTTTTTCTCATGGAAGGGTGCTATTTCATAACAGAAAATGATGTGTCATGGAAGTGATCTTCGTCACGGGTGACAATGTCAACTGAGACACCACCAACATGTGGCAGTCGGCATAATGGGTCACAATTAAGCCAATGGGTGTGAGTTCTTGATCAGGTACCCGTTAATGACGTGGCCTCCTGTTGATCCTCCACATGTCAACGTCTTACTGAAGTGAGTAGTCCACATGTCGGCCAATTATTGGGATAGTTGTCGCACATAGAACGGCCCGCTTTTGTTGTTCCCAGGATGGCACGTGTCACCGACCACTAGAGGCTCATTTAGTTTAAAAGGTCAACCATGTCAAGGTTTTGTTAAGAACCGCGACCTTGGGCCATTACCAGTATGAACCATAAGCGACATGTGTACGTTTCGCCAACTACCAACATATTATATGCATCTTAACATTAGGCCCATTAGTAATCTTTTGACATTTAGTTTGTCTTCTGGAATAATGTTAATGGCTCATGTTATATTTAGGATGAATCTTGTCCTCGAGATTCGGTTGCTCGGGAAACAAATCAGGGTATGCAGTCCTTAAGAAATCCTCCTTTTCCCAGGTAGCTTCATCCTTGGTATGATGTTCCCATTGTACTTTGTAAAACTTGATTGATTTGCCGTGGGAGACTCGTCCATCTCATCTAATATCCAAGAAGGTTTCTCTTCATATGTCAAATCCTTAGCAAGCTCTATCTCGGTCAGATTTGTCCATTTCTCGGGAGGTGATATGCACTTTCGCAGTTGTGACACGTGGAAGACATCGTGAACTTCAGATAACTCAGGTAGTAGCTCTAACTGATAGCCACTGTACCAACTCTTGTCATGCTCGACAATGGGCCAATGAATCTGGGTGCGAGCTTTCCTCGAGTCTGGAACCTCTTAACTCCTTTCATGGGGGTGACTCGGAGATAGGCATACTCCCCTGGTTCAAAGCTGATTTTGAAGGAAATATGCCCTAGAGGCAATAATAAAGTAGTTATTTATATTTCCTTATATCATGATAAATTTTTATTATTCATGCTAGAATTGTATTAAGTGAAAACTTGATACATGTGTGGATACATAGACAAAACTCAGTGTCCCTAGTAAGCCTCTACTAAACTAGCTCGTTAATCAAAGATGGTTAAGTTTCCTAACCATAGACATGTGTTATCATTTGATGAATGGGATCACATCTATAGGAGAATGATGTGGATAAGACCCATCTGTTAGCTTAGCATATTGTAACGCCCTCGATGCGGCTATATCTCCCACATGTCGAAGCACGACTTAGAGACATAACTGCATTGAAAGCAATGTCGCAAGTGAGGTAATCTTCACACAACCCATGTAATACATAAGGGAAAAAGTAACATAGTTGGCTTACAATCGCCACTTCACACAATACATGAATAAAACTTTACATCATCCGAATACAATCAAGGTCCGACTACGGAACCAAACTAAAAGAAGAACCCCAAATGCGACAAAGGTCCCCGATAGACCCCAACTGGGCTCCACTACTGACCAACTAGAACAAAACAACACAAAGGACAAGATCTTCATCGAGCTCCTCCTGAGCTTGTTTGCGTCATCTGCACGGACTCATCGGCACCTGCAAGCTGGTTTTGGAAGTATCTGTGAGCCACGGGGACTCAGCAATCTCGCACCCTCGCGATCAAGACTATTTAAGCTTATGGGTAAGGTAAAAGGTATGGGGTGGAGCTGCAACAAGCGACTAGCATATATGGTGGCTAACATACGCAATTGAGAGTGAGGAGAGAAGGCAAAGCACGGTCGATAAAAGTATGATCAAGAAGTGATCCTATAACAACCTACGTCAAGCATAACTCCAACACCGTGTTCACTTCCCGGACTCCGCCGAGAAGAGACCATCACGGTTACACACGCTGTTGATTCATTTTAATTAAGGTCAAGTTTAGGTTTTCTACATCCGAACGTTAACAAATTCCCATCTGCCCATAACTGCGGGCACGGCTTTCGAAACTTCAAAACCCTGCAGGGGTGTCCCAACTTAGCCCATGACAAGCTCTCACGGTCAACGAAGGAATAGACCTCCTCCCGAGACATTCCGATCAGACTCGGTATCCCGGTACAACAAGACATTTCGACAGGGTAAAACTAAACCAGCAACACCGCCCGAATGTGCCGACAAATCCCGATAGGAGCTGCACATATCTCTTTCTCAGGGCACACCGGATCGTCCAAACTTCCGGTAGGCCAGCCCAGAGTTGCCCTTGGTGGTCACCGGCGGCTGACAAGTTGGACCAACACTCAGAGGAGCACTGGCCCAGGGGGGTGGGGGGTAAAATAAAGATGACCCTTGAGTACGCGAAACCCAAGGGAAAAAGAGGCTAGGTGGCGAATGGTAAAACCAATGTTGGGCATTACTAGAAGAGCTTTACTTAAGGCGAACTGTCAAGGGGTTCCCATAATAGCCCAACCGCGTAAGGAACGCAAAATCCGAGAACATAACACCGATATGATGGAAACTAGGGCGGCAAGAGTGGAACAAAACACCAGGCATAGGGCCGAGCCTTCCACCCTTTACCAAGTATATAGATGCATTAATTAAATAAGATATTTTTTGATATCCCAACAAGTAAACATGTTCCAACCAGGAACAACATCTCCATGTTCCAACAAGGAACAAAACTTCAATCTTCACCTGCAACTAACAACGCTATAAGAGGGGCTGAGCAAAGCGGTAACATAGCCAATCAACGGTTTGCTAGGACAAGGTGGGTTAGAGGCTTGACATGGCAATTTGGGAGGCTTGAAAGCAAGTGGTAGGCATCGTAGCATTGTCATAGCAAAAGAGCGAGCAAATCTAGCATAGCAAAGATAGTAGTGATTTCGAGGGTATGATCATCTTGCCTAAAATCCCGCAAGGAAGAAAGAACGAGTCCATGAAGAAGACAAACGGATGTAGACGAACGGGTCCTCACAAACACGACGTTAACGGAACCAACCCGAAGAAGCAACACCGGAAAGAAGCAAACAACATAGTAAACAACCACCACATAAGCATGGCATGATGCATAAACAAGTATGATGCATGTCCGGTTTAATGAAGCATGGCATGGCAAAGTGCACA